GTGGTGGCACTTGCCTTTAATCCCAGCACTCTGGAGGCACAGGCAGGCGGATCTCTGTGAGTTTGAGGCCAGCCTAATCTACAGAACAAGTTCCAGGACTGCCAGCAGGGCTACACAAAGAAATCCTGTCTTGAAAAAACAAAAACAAAAACAAAACAAAACAAAAAAAGCCTCAGCTGAAACCAAGCTTTCATAATTTTTAAGTCTCCGTATCTGGTCAATAGAATAAAGTAATTGTTTATTTAACTTTATTGTTGGCCTAATAAACTACTTACATGGATTTTTCCCATTATCCACAGATTCTTTCTGTTCTTGTTGTTTTAGAGTGCTGCCTTCATTATGCAGTCCAGTTACAATCTGGTCAGCCTCTTAGACTGGCTAAGAGTGGCACCTCACCTGAGCCACCGGGCATGCCTGCCTCAGACTGCTGGTTTGAATGAGGTACCTATACACGAGACTCAGCAGACATACATTCAAGGCTTTTTGCAGATAGCTAGTTTATTAGGACCAAGTCTGAGCTTTTTAAGAAAAATCACTTTTGAGTTTCCTTTAAATATTTATTACACTGTGCCCACAGATCATCAAGGAGCTAGTATCTTCATGGCAGAGGCAATCAATAATTAAAGAATGTTTGGTATGATGTCAAGCTTAGGGTAAGGGCAAAATAAAGCAGGGTAGGGACAGAGTAATGGGGAAGCTGGTTTACAGGGGTGAGTAAGGACGGCATCTCTCAGATGACACGGGACAAAGGCTTGAATGAAATGAGGGAAGCAATTACATGACTGTGTCACTCATCATTAGGGTGCCTTATGGTGCTCATTAGCTTCATGCTCTGGCTTCTTAGTCACACATCTTATATGGGGCTGAATTATTTATCCCTCCATGACTTAGTATACCAGACTTTAAAATCCAGGAAGTGCCTGTACTTCATGTGTCTTTAAATAGCCTTAACTGATCACATAGTTCCCATTGTTTAGTACCTCTTGGGTGCTTTCTTGTCAGGCCTGTAAACCAACCTGTAATTCGAAGGGCTTTGAAGAGAGCCAAGGGGAAGGCTCAGTGGGTAAAGGTTCTCGCCCGAGTGAGCCCAATGGCCTGATTGGATTCTCTGAACACACATAATGGTTGGAAGAGAGAACAGATTCCATTATGTTGTCGTCTGGGCTTCACATTCATTTCCTGCCCCCATCAATTGCCCCCCCCCCATCGTCTACATAATACATCAGAAAGAAATTTAAAACATTTTAAAGAAAAGTAAGCATCATCTGGAAGACCTAATCAGAAGGAAGCAACTACGTTGTGAAAGTGTGAATCTTGGGAGTGGAGAAAACGTTTGATTCCAACACTGCATCTGTGGCCTTCAACATGTCACTTCATAGTAATCACTCTGTTTATCACAACAACAACATCAAACAGGAATGATGTGTTCCACTCACACTTTTAAAAAAGTCAAATGAAGTAATGCATATGAAAAATACTTGGCATGTTACAGGAGACCAATCCATGTTAACTGACTTTATAGTTTGTTTACACAAGCCTGAAATATCCTACAAAGGTAATAAGCAGCAGTTGGTTCTTGAGACAAAGGAATTTTTTTTAAAAAAATTTATTTTAAAAAGTCTTATTTTACATACCAGTCCAAGTTCCCTCTCCCTTCCATCCACTCCTCAGAGAGGGTGAGGCCTTCCACAGGGGATCATCAAAGTCTGTCATGTCATTTGGGGCAGGTATGGTGGGCGGTGACACACACACACACTCAGTCTCACTCAGTACTCAGGAAACAGATGGAGGAGGACTACTAGTCAGTTCCAGGCTAGTATGGGCTACACAGTGAGTCTCTGCCTTAAAAACAACAGCAATAGAAAAAAAAAAAAAGGGGGAAGAACCTGGCCTGGTGGCAAAGGTCTATAATGCTACCTACATGGAAAGTTGATACAGAGTAATGAAAATTCAAGTTCTGCCTGGGCTACATTGTGAGTTCAAGGCCAGTCTGGGCAACTTAGTGAGACCTTGTCTTAGAATAAAGAGTAAAAAGAAGGCTGGGTATAGCTCAGTGGTAGAGTACTTGTCTAGTATATGAAAAAAATTAAAAAAGAAATTTAAAACAATGTAGTATTTTATTACTCTAATGATTAGTAACATTGAATGTTTGTTGTGCTCTAAAAATCATTCCAAACATACTGTATGAAAGAGTCAGTATTCCTCACTGTAACCAAATAAAAGAATTACCCCCCCAATCTAATTCATGAGGAGGAGGAGGCACAAAACTGACTAAAACCTCTGTCTATGGTCAACACAGTGAGCAGCAGGGGTTGTAGTATAATAACTTGACAGCCGGGCTTTGGTGGCGCACGCCTTTAGTCCCAGCACTTGGGAGGCAGAGGCAGGAGGATTTCTGTGAGATCAAGGCCTGCCTGGTCTACAGAGCTAGTTCCAGGACAGGCTCCAAAGCTACACAGAGAAACCCTGTCTCGAAAAACTAAAACAATAAATAAATAAAATTTAAAAAATAAATAAATAAATAAAAAAGTGTAAGAGCTTGACACCATCCTAGACATTCTTAGCTATAGAAATAATTTCTAAGGTTTTTATGTAGAAGATACTATGTCATTAAATCTTTCCTGAAGGAAAATTACAATAATAAAAGTAGAACATACATTACAGCAAAGGAAGTACTATGTCTTGAGGAAGAGTGAATGAAGGAAAGGATGTAGCTACCAGTTGGTTTAGATTATCTCTAGATACTGTCCAGCTTACAACTTTGAGGCAATTATTTTGATTATGCAACTCCATGCCTTCTGTCTCAAAGCTGCTTAGCGCTTGCTTATCAGGGACTATGGATGTCTAATGTTCTAAAGTGTGCTTAAGTGAAAACACAGACTAAAACCCTGGAGAGTGGGCAGTAACACTTTTACACAGGTCATAGCAGGTATGATTAGTTTGAAGCAGAGTAGAAGTCTAGCAACACAATGTCTTAATCATTTAAAACTCTGATAACTTCTATCAGAGGTTAGCACAGAACTGGGGGACAGCAGCCTATCTATGCCTTTAGTTCCAGCTTTTTTGGAGGATGATGTGGGAAGATCCTTTGAGTCTGTGAGTTCAAAACCACCTTGGACAACATAGCAATGTGCCTTTAGTTCCAGCTTTTTTGGAGGATGATGTGGGAAGATCCTTTGAGTCTGTGAGTTCAAGACCACCTTGGACAACATAGCAAGAATCTGATTTGACAAATAAAACTAAATCAATTACATAGATACAGTCTTAACATAAAACTGGACACCCTATATTTGACAGGATGAAATCTTAGTGTTGATACTAGGCAAACACATCTGAAATATTAAAAACAATATAGAAATATGAAGATCAACTAGACTATAAAGAATGGAGCAGTCATAAGTACTATAAAGGCACAATTTTTTTTTCTTTTTTGAGAAGGGGAGGACAGGGGTACTGTGAATTGAATCCAGTTTTGTTTTTAGAGACAGGGTGTCTCTGTATTGCTTTGGAGACTGTCCTGGAACTAGCTCTGTAGACCAGGCTGGCCTTGAACTCACAGAGATCTGCTTGCCTCTGCCCCCACCCCCCAGTGCCCGGATTAAAGGCGTGGGCCACCAAGGACTGGCTGAATCCAGTGTCTTAAGCAAAGTAGGCAAACATTCTACTTCTGAGCTATACTCTAGACCCAATTATGAGTTTTGATTGACAACAGAGGAGGAAGGTTGAAGAAAAAAAAAGATACAACTAAAAGCTATTTAGATCAAAAGTTTTCTGTCAGTGGCTATGGGGCTCACCGGGATATTTTCTTGCCCATGGATTGATTTATGTTGTTATTTTGCAGTTTAATAAAACAGGATTATTGCTGGGCATTGGTGGCACATGCCTTTAATCCCAGCATTGGGGTAGGGGGGCAGAGGCAGGAGGATCTCTGTGAGTTCAAGGCCAGCCTGGTCCACAGAGGGAGTTCCAGGACAGGCTCTAAAGCTACACAGAGAAACCTTGTCTCAAAAAACCAAAACCAAAACTAACAAACAAAAACCCAACCAGGATATTTATGCTGTCTTGTCTTTCTTTCCTTGGATAGAGGTTCTCATGTTGCCTTGACTGGCCTGGAACCTGCCAGGAAGCTGAATTTGAAGTCCTGATCCCCAGAATGCTGGGTTTATGTGGTGTTGTGGATCTAAAACAGGACTTCCTGCCAGCTGTGTGAGCACATTCCCAAGCTACGCTCCTGGCTCCATATGCTGTCTTTTAACCAAAGTGAACCAGTTATCTTTTACAAACAAGAGAAAATAAACTTTGGTTAGTGTAATAGATTTGTACAGAGAAATGCACCTGTTTTAGTTTGCAGAATTGTATCTACTTTAGAATCTACTGGTGCTGACTAAAAAGTTCTCATTTAAATCACTTCTGCCATCCTGGTGAACAAAAAAACATCAACAGGCAATTGACTTTGAGTTCTTATACAGCCTCAATTATGTGCTAGTCAACTCAAGCATCCATTATGTACTCAATAATAGCTATGACACAGCTCCGGACAACAGCAACACCATAAGGAGGCGGGCACAGATAGCTTGCTCGAGCTGCTTTTCCTGGTGATAACATTCTTAAACATGGGGGAAATAGCAACGAGATCCTGTCTTCCTCATTAGAACCTTTACTCAACACTGTCTTGAGAAACGATAGCCCAGTAACGTAGAAGAAAATGCAGAATGCCAGCGTGGGGATAAATTTCTAATAGTTGTTATGAACATATTTTCCTGAACATAAAGCTTCTGTTGAGAGCAGCTACATTCGTAAAGGAAAAAAAAAAAAGTCTTCAAACTGCAAAACTGCGATGATGTATATGGCAATGTAACAAAGTAAACAAAAGAAAAATTTAAAACGTTGCTAAGGGTTGGAGATGGAGCTCAGCTGGTAGAGTGCCCGCCCATCACTCCGGAAGCCCCGGGTTCCATCCCTACCGCGCATCACCCCACCCCCACCCCGGCACGCGCCAGCACTCCCAGTCCTTTAGGGAGAGGTGGAGGCAGGAAGATAGATCTACAGTTCAAGGCCATCCTCCCCTGCGCCGCAAGTTCGAGGCTAGCCTGGGCTACGGGAGACCCTGTGTCAGGAGAAAACATTGTTAAAACAGCAGCGGAGGCGGAGGCAGCTGGTCCTTAGGAAGGCACGCGCTTGGTCCTGGCATTTAGGTTCCGAAGCGTTTTCAAAGCTGGTTACAGCCCTTCCCACAGCGCACCCTTGTGAGGTAAGTGTATTATCATCTTTGGTTCATAAATGAAAAAGCTGAGGCACCGAGCGATTAAGTCACTCGCCCTAAGGAGCATGAGTCAACGTCGAGAGTCATAGTTGACCCGGCTTAACGACTCCTGACCTTCAGTCCAGGGCTGAGTCAGCGGAGCCCCGAGTGGCTTCCCTGGCTGGCACCTGGACGTAGGCTATTTCCGTTCACGTTCAAGCAGAATACTGGAACCGATTGGACAGAACTTCCAAACTTTTGACGTCCAGCAAGATTCAACCCTGACGCATTCATCTCAGGACTGGGAACGGGAAAAGCCGACGCGTGCACTCCTCCCCTCCCCCAAGCGTGCGAGTGGGTACCGTGGGCTAGGCCGCCCACCCGCTGGGGCAGCGATGGAAACTAGTGACCACCCGCGTTAGTGGATCTCGGGGGACGGGGAGAACGCAGACCGCATCAACCGACTCTCCATCTCCATCGCCGCCTCTTTCGGAAACCAAGAGAAAATGGTGGGAGGCGAAAAGAAAACTAAATAAAAACACACAAGCAACTTGTCCTAGAACCTCAGCTAAGCCAATGAAGCCTTCTTGCGTGTGCTGAGCCTGCAGTTCCCAATCTTGTAGGAGAGATGGGAGGACTGGGCGACAAAGGGCACAGCAGGAATGCCCGCAGTGACTGCGACCGCAGCTCCGCTCGCGGCACCGCAGAGGCCTAAAACCTACTCTGCAGCAAGCACCGGCGGCGCCGGGAGCCGCGCACCCTCGCCAGCGACCACGTGATCAGTTTTCTGTCCCTTTTTTTTTTAAGAGAAAAAAAACTTCTTCGCCTTAAGAAAAAAAAAAAAAAAAAAGAGAGAGAGAGAGACTCCACTTCCCAGAAGCCTCTCGGTCCCCACGCAGCAGCAGTCTTGCGCAGGCGCCGCCAGGGCCAAACGGACACGTCCGTCACGTGGGCAGGAGCCGGCCAATCCGGTTTGAATCTCATTTTTTTCCTCTCGCCCCCCCTTCAGGAGCGGTTGTGCGATCAGATCGATCTAAGATGGCGACTGTGGAACCGGTGAGTGTTGCCTTCGGCCCCCACCCCCGAGGTGCCCGCGCTCCGGCTCCCTCCGCTCAGGGACTCCCCGCGGGACGGCGTTCCCGGCGCGCACGCCGCCCCCGGCCGCGCCCGGCCCGTGTCCCCTCGGCCTGACCTTCCGCGGGCAGCCTTGGCGGCGGGAGGCTGGCGGCGGCGGCGGCGTGGAGCGCACACGCCGTGTGGGGGCCCGGGCACCGGGGCGGGGGGAGGGGCGCCGCGCGGCCCCGGGGGCGGGGGCGGGGGGCGGCGGGGGCCGCGGGGCGGGGGGGGCGGCGGGGCCGCGGGGCGGGCTCGTAGCGGGCACCGTGCTCGGGAGGGACGGGTGGGCGGCGAGCCGGCCTGGAAGAGCCCGGGGGAGCCCGGGGCAGCCGCGCCTCGCCGCCGCCGGGGTCCGCGTGCCGGCCGCGCTCGAGCCGCGGAGGAGGAGGAGGGTGGGTTGGCGGAGCCGGTGGGCGCGCGGGAGGGAGGGGAGGAAGGAGGGGCGCGGCAGGAGCGCGGCCGGCGGCTCTGCGTGGAGTGGGGAGGGAGGACGCCCTGGGGTCGCGCCGCGCACCCTTCGCCGGGCCGGGGGAGGGGGCCCGCGGAGGGGATCACATTGTCCCGGCCCCTCGGCACCGGGACTGGGCTGTCATGGAGAAGTGGAGGGGGAGGAGCGAGGCCTACAGATCGCCGCCGCGGGTCGGCTGGCCGGAGCCCTGCCTTTTACACGCGCCGGGCTTCCCATTCATTCATCTTCCTGGGCGCTGCGCGCACGCCTCCGACGACTCTGTAGGTTCTTGTGCTCTTAGGCGACCTGATCGGCTGGAAGCTATCCAGCGAACACTAGTATTGGAAATAGAAACTTCCAAGATTGTCTTTCCTTAAGTTAAAAAAAAAAAGAAAAAAGAAAAAATAAGCATGAGGGCAGCAGCGCCAGCCGTGGGTCGCGTGTGCAAGTCAGAGGACAGCGTTTGGAGTCCGGCCTCTCAGTAGTGCGTTTGATTTTTTTTTTTTTTTTTTTTTTTTTTAACCCCCACCCTGCACTGCTTTCCTCTTAGTTAAAGCACTGTTCCGAAATCGATTGAAGCAAGATGCTCACGGAGCAGCATGTTGGTAGTTACCCGGAAGGAAGAAGAGTGATGCTTTTTTTTTTTTTTTTGTCATGCTTTGGGCTTGCCAACAGCTGGGTCACTGGCCATCTGTCCCAGGTTTTTTTTAAGAAATGTCACACCCGTGTGATTAAAATCTCAAAGTGATTTAAGGTGTAGAGTAGCAACCTTTGACTTGGGAAAGGAACGCTTGTAGACTCACCTATAGACTGAAGAATTTTGATTAGTTTGCAAAACAGACTTGGCAGAATTCAAGGCAACTTTTTTTTTATTTTTGGCATGATTTACTTGTTCTTTATTGGCATCAGTTTTCCTGGCAATTTGGTTGCTTACAAAACTGCATCATCAGTTGTTAGTGAAATTAACTGACTGTAGAATATCAATATTATTTAAGAACATGAGGGAAGCATTTAAATTTAACTTAAACTCTCTTGACAAGTTCTGATGTCTACTTTTGAGTGTTAGGGGAAAATAGTTTGGGTAATAATAGAAGCAAAACTAAAAGACCCTAAGCAATAAAACAGCAATATGTTCTATGGCATTTCAGTTACATTCAAGTCTTAGATTGTGTTAAAGCCACAATTTAGTGTCTTTAGAGTTTGTTCTGAGTCAGTACTTACAGCTGCTGATGTTTAGGGTGGGGTACCAAGTGAGGTTTAGAATGTAAAGTTGCATAAAAAAAATGTGGTCTGTACTCGTTCGTTGTGAGCTCTTAGGAGCCTAGTTGGGGTCAGAGTTGAAATACTAGTGATGACCCTGTTGTGAAAGTTGCATTGAAACTTGTTGGAGATGGTATGCAAAATGGCATTGAGGTACCTTTTTTTTTTTTTTTTTTTTTAAACACCCCTGCCTTTAGACTTGTCATATGGTATTCTTCTTAATACTTTGAGATTTGTTTTTGGAGCCTGCCTGTGGTGGCCCATGCCTTTAATCCCAGCACTTTGGGAGGCAGAGGTAGGTGAGTTCCAATCAGCTTGTTCTACAGAGTGAGTTCCAGGACAGCTAGGGCTACACAGAGAAACCCTGTCTTGGAAAGAAAACAAATAACAATAACAAAAAGATTTGTTTTTGATGCTTGATTTCAGCTCAGAGCCTAGTCCACACTAAGTTCATTCTACTCTAAACTACACTAATGCTTCTTCAGTTTCAGATAATTTTTTTTAAGCAGCTGATTTATTTTACTATTGGATTGCAATTGAGGAACTGTAAAAGCTTGTGCAAGTTTTATTTGGTCACTGCTGTTTTTAGTGTGTGATTTTTTTTTTTTTTTCTTTTGTAGTGTGCCTAATGGTAAGTGCTTAGAACAGTGGTTCTCAACTTGTAGGTCGTGACCCATTTTGGGGGGTTGAACAGCCCTTTCACAGGGGTCACCTAAGTCCACCTGAAAACACATATTTACATTTTGATTTATAACAGCAAAATTACAGTTATGAAGTAGTAATTTTATGGTTGGGGTCACCACATCGTGAGGAACTGTATTGAAGGGTTGCAGCATTAGGAAGGTTGAGAACCACTTAGTTATGAGTAGGTGATTTTTCTCTCCTTACATATCCAACCTTTTATAAATATTTGTCATGTCAGATTTTTAGTCTATGGAAAATCTATAAATAATCAGTCATTTTCAGTCAGTGTTTTTAAGAGTTTAAGATTAGCTATGTAAGTAATGGCTTGCACATATAGATTGAGAAATTCAAAAGGGAAATATATTGCTTTACAGAATCTGTAGACAAAGGCTACTCCTCTTAGCTTGGAATTGTAAGAAAGTCAAAATTAGACTCTGTGAAGATGGTAGACCGTGACCTCAACCATCTTCTAGTGGTTCTTGCTTCCTTTTAGATAACTTGCTTTTCTTCTGCTCTGTTTTTCTTGTTATTTAAAGACTACTTTCATTAGTTTTTGGAATTTCTTGTTATTTTTGTTTTTGTGTGTTTATCTCTGGAACTCATTTTGTTTGTATGTGTGTCTCTTGGAACTCTCACTCTGTAGATCAGGCTGGTCTGCCTAAATCTTGGGGTGGGAGTTTTGCCTTTCCAGCATTGGGATATACAGGTGCACAACACCATCCCTAGTCCATATATTTCCTCTCTTTATACTTAGCCCTGCTTTTAAAATAAGACTGGGAAGCGTGGAGAAGCCAGCTGTGGTGGTGCTTGCCTGTAACCTGAGCACTCACTGGGAAGTGGAGGCGAGAGAACTGTGAATTGGAGCACAGCCTGGCCTACATGACAACACCTTGTCTCAAAGCAAAATAAAATTTAAGAGAAAAGATCCACTGAGATAGATAGCTTGGAGCCCTAGAACCCTCATGGTGCAAACAGGACCTCTTGCAAAGTGTCCTCTGACCTCCCAAGTCCATACCAAGGCGAGTGCATACATAGAGGAGTCAGTAAATAAATATATGTTTAAAAGGCTTTAAGAGAAACAAGGGAAAAGCACTAAATGTTGTAAATGTACCGACAAAAAGCTGTTTATTGGTAAGCAGACTCTGACAATTTTTTAAAGTGAGGAACACATTTTTGTAATTTATTTATATTTTGTGTTCATTGGTGTTTTGCTGACATGTATGCCTGTGTGACAGGATCAGATCCCCTGGAACAGGAGTTACAAACAGTTGTGAGCTGCTATATGGGGCCTGGGAATTGAATTCTGGTCCTCTGGAAGGAAGAGCAGCCAGTGCTTTTAACCACTGAGCTGTTTCTCCAGCCCTAAAAGTTCATTCCATGTTTTATTTTATTTTATTCATTTAATGTGCATTGGTGTTTTGCTGGTAAAAGTGTCAGGTCCCCTGGACCTGGAGTTACAGACAGCTATGAGCTGCTTGCCATGTGGGAAATTGAACCTGTGTCCTCTGAAATAGTGGCCAATGCTCTTAACCACTGAGCCATTTCTCCAGCAGGAACCCATTTTATTAGTAACTTTGTTCAATTGTCAATTTCACTTCACTTTATACTCTGATTCTGTGTGATCATTTGACTTAGAGAAACGAAATGTGATGCATCATAGTTACATAGAATCGATGTAAAATGAGGCAGGTTGGCTTAATCTAGATTGAACAGAAAGTCCTGAGCAAATAACACTTTCATGAATGACATACTTAATTTCTAAGACAGTGGCTCTCAACTGAGGGGTGAATGAACAACACTTTCACAGGGGTTGCCTAAGACCACCAGAAAGCAGATATTTTGTAATTCCTTGAGTAGCAAAATTATAGTTATGAAGTAGAAACAATAATTTCATGGCTGGGTCTCACCACAACATGAGCTGTATTAAAGGGTCACAGCATTGGAAGGTTGAGAACCACTGTTGTAGAAGGCTAAGACTATAGAGTTAATAGAAGTGCCAGCAGCCCTGGACTTTTCTGAGACATGTCCAATAGCTGTTGTAATGCTCATTTCTCCTTTTCCTTCCCTGCCTCACTGGCGATTGTCTTCTGTTACATTGGGAGTGGCGACATCGTTCTCAGGGGCCATCGTTCTCAGGGAGATGACTGCGAAGTGAAAATGAGCATGGCTCCTATAATCTCATTTAAATTTCCCTAGAAATGAAGAACCTTGAAGTTTCTCAGTCCTGCTGAAAAATGGGAATCATATACCTTCATTTTATCCTGATTTGTAAATGGAGTATTTGGAGGTGATTTTGTCACTTATGTGGAGCTCATGTTTGTACTGGATCAAGGTTCTGCCTGCATACAGGCACCTCTGCATGCACCCATCTTCTGCTGGGACATTCTTGTCAGTCCTTGGCCATTAGCAAGCTCTGGGAAGCCTATGATTGCAGCCTCAGGTGTTGGTGCCTTTCCTGTTTCAACAGAGTCTAGTCACATCTAGAGAAGAAAGCGATTGCTTTTCATCTAAAAACTAATCATTTTTGTTTAACAGTCAGAAACAAGTA